TTTAATTTAGTGGTTGAATTTCAACCACTGGGCGAATAGTAGTCAATATAAAGGATATGATTATTTAATGACGTGATGAAAACAGAACTGGTTTCAGAATACATGTAAAAATTAGCAAAACTCTGTGAATCGTGTGAGGTTTTCCTTCCTTAAACATTCTTTAAATAAAGTTAAATTATGGACCATTGTAACCAATTTTTGTTATGGGTTTAATTTTGAATTAAAATGTGATAAAGGACGTGACATATCTTTAATAATTTTTTAACCTTTTTTCGCCATCTTAATACGAAATTAAGAGTTAAAAAGTCATTGGAAATAATTTACTTGCATCATCGGTTTACATTTTTATGGAAACACCCATATCCCATAAGAATCAAGACATTTCCATATTGTAGCCCCTTTTTAAGTGATAACAGTTTTGGAATGAAGTTGCAGATTGCGTTCGGCATTCCGAGTACCTCCTGGGAAGGGGGATATGGAACGAAATAGGTCTTCTGCCATACTTTTTCTGGTACTAATGATGCTATTATGCCTCTTCGGAGTGCCAAATCAAATGAAAAGTGACTGCTAACCAGTCCATCTTGCTTAGTGATTATCGCTTAAGAGTCACTAGATTACTACCTAAAATCATAGCTGTAAGACATTTTCTTATATTTCTGCTTATTTTGCCTGAAAGACACTGACACTGGTGGACGGAATGATATCTTGTAGCCCTACATTTATTTTCTAAAAAGACACTGCAAGACCGATTCGATTTTTAAGCTCATCTAAATTTGAATTGAAAAAATTAGCGCTAACGTAATTCGGAGTTTAGATCAAAACAAATGACTTTGAATATTAAACTAAGGCACAACTATCTAATAAATCTTCAAATTAAAATCGTAGGCGCTACAAATATGCTCCACTTAACGAAATTGCTTACTCAGCAAATAAATAAATAAATAAAAATTTGCACTTGTACATTTCTAGAATTGCATAAATTGTGCATGTAGCATGTTACACCTGCCAACAGCGTACGCGCACGCACACACATAAACAACTACGTACTACATGTATGGCAATCGCAGTCATGACAAATGCATATCTATTACAGGCTACAACACTTTGAGATTTTGCGCCATTGCCACCCTGAATTACGCATAAATCTTAGTCAAAGCGCGTAAGCTGAGGCATAAATTTTCACAAATTCAAAACTCTACGTTAACTAATATTTACTCACTCCAATTTGCGTTGAAGTTGGCGCTTAAATTGCGTTGAAATTGAAATTAGTCAAATGTTGCACGACTTCAATGCTGAGACTTTTATTTTGTGTGTAACAAGTAAATTTATTTTGCCGTCAAAATTGGTGTTTTATAAATATTTTATTTCGAGCATGTAATCTTAGTTTCATGTCTCTGGAAGTTATTCATACAATTTTACTTGCAGTTCGGCAGAGAATTCGAAAAAACTTTTTTCCATCACGTAAATTTTCCTAGAAATTTTGGTTTTTAATTTTCCTTAATATTACCACGTATGACCAGCGTTGTCTGCGAATTTTCATAGTCTTCCTGATTTACTTAGTCTTTAGATGATGAGTCTTGAAACTTCAAAATAAGCTCAGGTACCGCTAGATGGCGCAGGAGTCGATATATTTGGAAACTCCGTGGTTATAAGCAATAAATTAACTCCACAAAAAAATCTGGCCGGTAGGTGGCGCAAGTGGTTTATGGTTTTGGTTTTACGGACTTTGCTTGTTATATTTTCAACTGAGGCATTCAAATTTGTTGTCAAAAGTTGACTACAAAATCTTTTAGATGCCTAGGGCGCCCTAACAAAGGTGGGCCAAAAAGACAATTTTTACTTGCGCTTTCCCTGGTTTTGAGTAAGTAGATGAAGACACTGAATTGAGCCCTTCTTCGTAGGCGACCTCCGCTCGCGCTTCAAGATCATAACCTTTTATCAGCAGAATTCTCCTTTCCTTGTGCCGGGAAAGAAGGGACCCATCACGGGTATGTAAGAATTCTTGTGCACATGAACATTGAAGAGGGCTTGCATACGTGGAGGAACACTCCATAAACTTCATAGTCTAGTTGTTATCACGATGCAGGGAGACAGAGGTGGCGCAATCAGCAGTACCGCTACTTTGTTCTTGGCGAATTTGACAGAATAAGCTTTCGTGTGACGTCATTTTAGCAAACTGTTTGTATGTATGCAGAGATGTTCATATGTATGTAAATATGGCGACCTCCATGGTTTGACAGTTAACACTCTTTCTCTCCTCCATCTCCAATTATTCTTTCCTTTATCTACACTATGCGTTGCTATCTTGACGTCATCACCCGCAGGAATGCGCAATCTTGTATTCTATCATTCTTTTTTGTTATTTTGAAATATTAAATAAGAGCTCGCGATTTTAATTTCTCTAAAAAGCACCAATAGCATACTCTAAGAGTACCAAAACAAAAAAGTTAATTAAGAAAGTACATTTCCAGCGCTTTCCAAAAAAGTTGGGATCATTAGCACCTCTTTCTGAAAAACCGTGTTCGAACCTGTTCTGTTTTTCATCCTTCATACATATCTGGAATAAAAGTCTGGAATTTCCTGCTCAATCATTTTTTTTATTTAACGTAGAGTCAGAAAGCTCGCAGCTTTCCAATACCAGGGGAACAATTCCAGCTCTATGAAATGATGAAGTGAAAATGAAAAATTCAATGTCAGTGAATATTAAATTTGTTCACTTTATCATTTCATTATATCATTTTTAGCTATTCTCGATCATGAAAGGCTTTTTCATTAACTACAAGCAATCATCACAGGATGATGGTTTTGAGAAAAGTGCTCAAATTTTCTTTTTCACAGCCACAAATACCAGTGAAAACTTTTTGATAAATTACTTTATTTTCATTTGAAAACAGAATCAATTCACGTTTTCTCAAAACAAGAATTGGCGCCCAGGATTTTTCACAAAATACGTATTGGAAAAGCTTTATAGTATTTGCTTATAAGTACTCCTCATTTAATTAGGGGGTAGTATAAACAATCATTTTGCAAAATTCAAAAAAAAAATGCAACGTCGGATTTAAACACATAAATTCCTAATAACTTATTAGTCAACGAATGATCTCAATTTAAACAGAAATGACTCGTAAATTTAATTAAGGTAATTATTTTTATTACATATCTACATGAATTGCGTAAATAAATGAGATAAGTTGATTGATTTTTGCGCAAAGCGAATTACATGAAGTAATTGCCTAACTCATTTATTTGCGTTTTGCTTTTGCAAATTCAAAACGCAATTGCCTTAAAAAATAAAAATAAAAGAAAAAATAAAATAAAATAAGAAAAGATTTTTGCCAAGTTTAAAGCACATAAATTAAATCTAACTATGTAATTCGTTCTGCTGTAATTCACAAAAATTAAAAGCCGCCAAACAATTTTGAATTATGAACTATCGATGGAAACTGGCAGGCGGCCGCCAAGCAACCAAGCAGCCAAACAAAAAGCCACCAACTGTGTACTTTGACGGCTGGACATTCACATTCACTTGTGCCACTGGAAGGGAGTGCTGTTGAGAGATATAGAATTACAAACATATATGTGTGTATAGAAATAGTAAATTACTGCAAATACAGATGTCTATCGCACGTGATATTCAAAAGTGACACAATTCAAAATTTAAAATGTACACATAGCTTTTATTTACCTTTCAGCAAAAGCTGAAGTAAATTTTTGTTATAATTTGTTGAAAAAACCTTGAGTAAAATCTCTCTTGCCCATAATTTGATTAGCAAGTGCTAAGAAATTGTTTTTCGCATTTTCTGGCAAACTAATAATTTTGAGTTGCGTCACATTTGTAGATCGTGTGCGATTTGTGCGCATACCTGCTTCAATATGGGTCAATCCATGTACAAATCGGATAACGGAACTTCTCTTTTATCATAGGTATAACGACAGAACCTCAAGGAGAAAAAATTCGAAAGCTGTGCAAAATTCTAAGTCTTGCAATTTCCGGAAATTTGCCAAGCTATTATGGTTACAAATAATTCTGGTATCATTTTAAATGTGTTTTTAAGGCTAAAATGAAAAAATTTATAAACAAATTTGGAAATAGAAAAAGTTACAAAACTCTTAATTTAAAAAAATCGTAATAGCAAAAACTTATAAATTTATTTTGCTCAATTTTTGTAATACAATACCCTCTTTGAAGAAATTTTCAAGGTGTTGTTTTTTTAAGGTCTCAATTTTATAATATGTAAAACAAAATATTGTTTGTAAACTCTTAATAAACTTATGTACAACAATTTATTTAATTTTAATTATTTTTTATATCTTGTTTGCAAAAAATTTTTTTTCAAGTTCAAAAATTCATATCTTTCAAAAAAACATATTTTTTAAAATTTCAAGATCTTTTAGATTAGGTAGATTTATGGTCTAAAAAATTAAAATAGTAAACGTTTTTGCTTTTACGGTTTTTTAATTTAAAAATTTTTTCGCATTTTTTTATATATCCCCAAATATCACCTTTAGAACGAGACCAGAACTATTTTTGTAACTATAATAATTTTATAATATATATATTAAAAACAAAAAACTTACAAAATCTGGGAATTTGTGAAATTTTGAACTTACGAAAAACATATTTTCCATTTAGCACAACTCCGTTATATGATAAAAGAACAGTTCTGAGCAAACTTTATCCAAATAAAAAATGGTCGATTTGACATGGATTTGCCCATTTACATATTTGCAAATGTAAACAAAAAGGTCCGAACGGCTGTGGCAGCTTTTAGTAATGAAAACCTGCAGCAGCCAAAAAAGAGCACACAGCATTCAATTTTGACCGAATTCATTATTTTCTTTTTTTTTCATAATTTTGATATATTGTTTTATATGTATTTTAACCTTTCAATGCAATTTTTTAACGCTTTATTTACTTTAAATCTTTGTTCACATTTACGAGTAAGTAAGTATGTATTTATTTATCTTCCATGTGTTCTTTTGTTTTCATTCTCTTGCAGGTTGTGCTAGTTCAGGGTCATTATCTGTCATTTCTGCCGCTTTGCAGTCGCAATGAGCCGGTCTTTGTGGCCACATGCACACCCATTGCCATGCCGGAGACGCGCGAGTGTGTGGTGCAGGGCGCCACCAATGTCTTTACCACCATTCATTCAATGGATATGAAAATCGCACATATCGATAAAAAGTGAGTAGTGCGCATGCGCGCCCGCAGAGTTTGCATTTACTTTATTTAATGCATTATTTTAAAAGGTTTAAAGTAGATTTATTTTATTTTTAATTGTTTTTATTTTTTATTTACTGAAAGTTGGTGTTTTTTGTTTTTTTTTCAATTCCTTTGATTTTTATACACAGCGGCGAATTTCATTTGGGTTACAGCAAAAGTGATATACATGGAGTTTCTTGGTACAATCTATTGCATTCGGAAAATTTACGTGAGGCGCAAAGCAAACATAGGCTGAGTAAGTAATTGCATAAGTAGTAAATAACAGTTAAAAATAGGCCAAAAAGTACGTAATTCTCAACTCAAGTATATGCATTCGGCTATCGTCAACTACATAGATTAAGTAAGATAATTTATTCGTGAAAAGTACTTATGTATGTCGGCTACGGTGTGCTCTATGACGCCTAGTTGGCAGTGTTGAGCATTCTATACAGTTCAGCGGGCACAATAAATAGTGGGCTGAACAGAATTTTGAATAGCAATAGAATAGCACAATCGTTTTCTCATATATATTCCTTAGGCGAACGTCTTCCAGCTAGGGTCCAACCATGTCTGGGAAGTTGGCATATGGTATGACGCAAAGCGACAAAAAAAGGTTGCTCTCAATAGTTCTAGAGTTTTTGAGAAGGAAAAAAATTTCTGGATATTTTGACAAAAAAAAAGTTTTTCAAAAATTGTGTATGCCAGATTCACGCAGCATACGGCGTGTGGCAAAAAGGCAAAAAAAAACTGTTCTCAGTAGCTTTTCAATAGTTCTAGAGTCCCTGAAAAAGAAAAAAAAGTTCTGCAAAATTGCGCCCAAAAAAAACATTTTTCAAAAAACTCGAAAAAATTTATTGTTTGAAAAAAGTAAAAATTAAAACTGTTCTGAGTAGTTTTTTAATAGTTCTAGAGTTCTTGTGAAGGAAAAAGAAAATTGTCCAAAATAACGCCGACAACAAAAATTGTTTCAAAAAAGTCGAAAAAGTTGGATTAAAAAAAAAATTATATTAAAACTTTACTGAGTAGCTCTTCAATAATTCTAGAGTTACTGAGAAGGAAAAAAAAGTTCTTTTTTTTCAAAAAACTCCAAAGAGTAAAATATTTGAAAAAAAATAAAAACTAGAACTGTTCTGAGTAACTTTTCAAAACATCTATGGTTTCTGAAAATAAAAAATAAAGTTCTGTAAAATTGCACCGAAAATAAAACATTTTTTTTGCAAAAAACTCGACAAAAGTAAAATTAAAAAAAAAAAATAAAACCTAAAACTAGAGTTCCTTAAAAGAAAAAAAGTTCTGCGAAATTGCGCTGAAAAGAGTAATTAAAAAAAGTAAAGGTATTCTTGTTAATTTTTGTAATTGTTTTCTTGCCCATAAAATTCAAAATCTGCACTTAATTTCAGAAGATAAAAGGATCGTTTATTTCTANAACATTTTTTTTGCAAAAAACTCGACAAAAGTAAAATTAAAAAAAAAAAAAAACCTAAAACTAGAGTTCCTTAAAAGAAAAAAAGTTCTGCGAAATTGCGCTGAAAAGAGTAATTAAAAAAAGTAGAGGTATTCTCTGTTAATTTTTGTAATTGTTTTCTTGCCCATAAAATTCAAAATCTGCACTTAATTTCAGAAGATAAAAGGATCGTTTATTTCTGCAGCATTTATAAAATGTTGGAATTCGAAATCTTTTCCTGACCTTGAGATTTTTCATCACCTCCCAGAACTTTTCGTATCTTTTCGTATTTTATTCTGAATTTTTCGAGGGACCTCTAGCGTATTGTGTCTTTATTGTTTTTCTTTGTAGAAATATTAAGAAGCTCTGGCATAATTAAACCCTTTAATCATAACAAACTGTTAGATTTTTTTTATGTAGTTTTTATTTAATTTATTTTATTTCTATTTTATCTTAGTTTNGGAATTCGAAATCTTTTCCTGACCTTGAGATTTTTCATCACCTCCCAGAATTTTTCGTATCTTTTCGTATTTTATTCTGAATTTTTCGAGGGACCTCTAGCGTATTGTGTCTTTATTGTTTTTCCTTGTAGAAATATTAAGAAGCTCTGGCATAATTAAACCCTTTAATCATAACAAACTGTTAGATTTTTTTTTTATATAGTTTTTATTTAATTTAATTTAATTTATTTCTATTTTATCTTAGTTTATACATATATTTCAAAATCATACGTAAATATATGTTTGTGCATATAGCATTCTGAAGTGCTGAAGTTCTTTTTTTTTTTGTACTCCAGTAACACAATCGGAGCAGGATCGCTCTTGCATTTTACTAGTTCGCATGCAGCGGCGACAAGGAGACTTTATTTGGGTACACGTGGTACTACAAGTGCGCGATAGTCAAGATACCAACCAGCAGCCGGTGATTGTTTGCACGAATCAGGTTCTAAAGTAAGTAAAAAATTCATTTCTAACAAAATAAATATAGTCGATATAAAGGTCTCTTCATTTGAAAGTCTGGAATCAAATTGTATCAATCTCTATATACTGAACATCAGAAATATCCACTTCATCTTAACTTCCATTTTCATCTGAAACAAATTTTTTGGTAATGACGGAAAAAAGTAAAATTTTAATGGTTTTTACTACTTGATTGCGAATATTTAAAATACCTATTCATCTACAAAGATACACAAGCTAAATAATTTTTCAAATAAAACTTCGAATGTGGAGTCACTGCCTAAATTAACACCGATCTAAGAGGAATTAAATATACCATTATTATTTGGGCAAACCTCGGTGCTCGGCTTTGGGTCTCTTCCCAAGGAACTATACTATACTCCCCCCAGCAATCTCCCACGCAAATAACCACTATGTTTGAGATGTCTAAAGTAAAGTAAAACAAAAAATGCATAGATTTTTATTTTATTTCGCTCACTTTTAGCAACCGCCTTTAATCAAATCACGTCTTTGACTATTGCACCAATTTCTACATTTCCGTTTCTCACGCAATCACCACGTCTTCCCACAGTAAATTTCTATTTTCAGCTATTTTTAGTCTAAACAAAAATAACTAAGCTAATCAAATTTCGTTTGTGCTTTTTTGTCTTTCATTCATTCCCACTGCAATGCGATGCCAATTTGCCAACTCACCACCAAACAACACCGTCATTGCCAATTTGGTTCTCGACTCGAACACAACAATCACACTCCCACCGCTCACTCAATCTGTCTAAACTCCACTCTACAGCGAACGCGAAGCATCGGTTATGCTCGCCAATTCATGGCTCTACCACTACTACTCAGTGCAATCGAAGATACAATTCGGACTTGCCTTCGATGCGCCCACACGTGTGCCACCAACAACGCCAGCCGCTGCCGCTGCGGCTGCGGTCTACTACCATCATCACGCGCATCATGTTGGCCATCCGCATTCGCATCATCACACGGGCGCCGCCACAACGGCCACACTTCCGGCTACCGCATCAGTGGGCTATGCGGCCGCATTGCATCCACATCAGCCACATCCGCACGTCCACCATCCGCACCACCAACACCTGCACACAAATCAGCTGCCGCATCCGCACTCGCACCCGCATTCCCACCAAAATTCACACCCCCAGTACCACCACATGACGGCGTATGGCTCGTATCATACGCCCACTGGCGCGACTAGTGGTGGCAGCATGAGCGTGGGGAGTGGCAGCGGCGGCAGTGCGGAGGGATCGCCTGCGCCTCATATGGGCGGTCAACAGCCACAGCAGCAGCACTTACAAAGCAATGGCGCAGTGGTGATGACGGCGAATGCGGGCAACATTAATGGTGCCGCCGTCGGTCCGTACATCTACCATCACCGGCTGGGGTTGGAACCGGTCGACTATAGTCAAGTGCCTGGCGGTGCGACGGCGGCAGCGATTGGCTTGAACGGCGTGCGCTCTCCCGCGAATGGTCAGACGGATGGACAGATGCGTTGTAGCAGCGCGAACAGTTCCGTCTCCAGTCACAATGCAGCCACACCGCACTATGTCACACACAACAGCAACGCTAGCAACAATGCGACCAGCAATAGTCATAACAACGGCAGTGGTGGCAACACTAACCACAACAACACAAATAGCAATCACACCAGCGGCCACAATCATAATCACAACGTCAGTTCCAGCGTCAACGGAAATGCCTCATCACATCATCAACGCCTCAGTTCGCCACCCACCAAGCGGAGAGCTATCGGCAAATTGGAACCACTTTATCTACCAGATGATGGCACCGATGACACGCCCACAACAGTAACCGAAATTGATACAGCCTACCCGCTGCATACGCATGCGCTCATTTCTGCGCCGCTCGAGTCACATGCTTCCGTAGTCTTTGCCACCGTTGTGCCTACACGTCCGCGTCTCATGCAAAAGTCACTACCCAACGATCCACCCGACTTCATCGATCAATGGAATCCCAGTCCGCCCTGGTCGGAGTCTGCGCAAAAACTTTCGCTTGATAGTTCCTCCTCAACGCAGCAGGAGCTCAGTCCTTGTATTACCACCACACCACCTACACCCACCAGCGCGCCACCTAGCGGTCCACTCGCCGCCAATTGCAATGGTTTACAGACTTTAGCACCAGCTTTCTCATTCGAATGGATGTCCGATCCGTTGGTGCCTATTACGGATCCCTATGTTTCCTGTATAACGCCGCCGGATGGCGTACCCATTGTAGTCACTCATCATCCACACTCCGCCGCAGTGCAACATGCCTTGCATTGGCCTGTGAATGCCCCAGCGTCCGAACATCATCAGCACCTGAGTCAGCATTTAGCCTCGCATGGGCATCGATTGTTGAGTCTGTCGAGTACGGGCGCTGGTGAAGCGACGCAACAGGTGTTGAGCGTAGCAGCCAGAGATGCGGGGAATGTGAAAGTGAAATCACCTGATGTTGCAGAGCGAAAAGGTGAGTGTTTTTCTAGTTTTTGAATAAACCAATACGAAACATTTTCGATCGCAATCCTTAACCAGTGGACATAGAAAGTGATATATTTGAGAGAATAGCACTCCCAAGCAGACATCAAACACCTCCAAAGAAATCCTCTGAACCAAAAATATTTTTAGCTTCATTCTAAATTAAATAAACAAAATAACTGTTTCATTTTTCTTCATATTTTTTATGTGCGATTGGCGATTAAGTATTCCAGCATAAAAATTTCTCGAACGAATCCCAAAAAATCTTGAAAAAAATCCAAAATCTAAAGCTCGAAGATAAAGTAGCAGTCGGAGATTAACCGCAACCTTTTTAGCAATTCTTTATTGGTTACGCTCAGAGGGAAACCTCTTATCCGGGTACCTGGATAAAAGTAACCCCCTACCTAGGTACCCCAATAAATATTACCCTCTAAGCGGATATCGGGTTAAAGATAACCCGAATATATGTACATAGATATGTTAACCTCTACCCGGCTGTCCGGACAAGAATAACCCGCTACCCAAGTACACAGATAAAATCTACTCCTATCCGGGTACTCAGATAAAGATAACCATCTATCTGGGTACACGGATAAGGAAAACCTTTTACCTGGGGAATCTATCACATACAACCCGCTATCAGGTACCCAGACAACAATAACCGCCTACCTGGTTACTCGAATAAAGATAACCCTACCCGGATGCTCGGATAAATATAATCGACTGCGCGAGTACTCGGTTTAAAATTAATCCTATATGCTTGCACCCGTGTAAAGATAACCCTCTATCGGGGTTTCTACAAATATAACCCCCTATCCAGTCACCCAGGTAAAGATAACCGCTAACCCATATACTCGGATAAAGATAACACTATATCCCGGTATCCAGACTATGATAACCGACTACCTGGGTACTAGGACAAATAATACCCGCTATTCAAGTACCCGGATAAAGATAACTATCTATCCGTGTATCTACGTAAATAAAGATAAAGGCCTACCCGGGTACTTGGGTAAAAGAACCCTATATCTGGGTACCCATATAAAGATAAAGATAACCGCCTACCCGGGTACTCGGATAAAAATGACCCTATATCCGGGTATCCAAATAAAAATAACTGACTACCTGTGTACCCGAGCAAATATAACCCGTTATTAAATTACCTGGATAAAGATAACCTTCTGCCCGGGTACGCGGATATTTGAATATTGACCTTTACCTGAGTAATTCATTACCTTTAGTATATAGGGCGTGTTCAGAATTACACGATGAGCCAGGCAGAATAACTGACCAACTTCTCGCCATTTACAACGAAATTTAATATTACAAATAAGTTAACTTTTTATCGAGATATGATGTATTAAATAGTTTTACTATTTTACTTTAATTTTCTTCAAAGCTCCAAATAACAAAAGTAAACGTATTTTTTAAAATGGTACTGGCAGCTCAATTTATATGCGGCCAATATTATTCCTCTCACTTAATAACCGAAAACAAGCAACCATTACAAATAAGTCTCCTAGTTAATATCTGTGATGATGATTCATTTCTTGAAATTAAATATAAATCTCAGCGAGAAACCAAAATAATGCGCGCATTGGTATAACTGACCGAGAGAAACCTTTATGTGACTGCGCAATATGATAAGTATCCCAGAAGGACCAATATGGGTTTTGGGTTAAGAGGTATTTTCGAGCTCTGCCAAAATCCCGAAATATCCTAAAAAAAATTAAAAAAATCTCAAAGAAAAGTTAGAAAATCCCGAAAAACGTTCCCATCGAACCCTAAAAAGTCTTCCACACTCGAAAAATCAAAATTAAAAAATTTTAATCAATGACTTAAAAATATTAAGAAGCAAAAATGACCCATATTCGGCTAGAAAAAACGTTTATCTTTTATTTTTTTTTAACAACAATTAACGTGTTTTTGCTAAATGTACCACTGAACCTAAAACCTTTCGAGATGTTTTACAAAGAAAACCTACGAAAATCCCGAAAAAAAATTCAGAAAAATCGATTTTCCATTTCAAATTTTTTTCATTGTGCCTCTTTGGTTTCAAAATATGGAATTTGCATCAAAACGGTTGTGACAGCTTGCCTTCAAGCGTATTTTTAATAACTTTTAATATTTACTCTATTTTCAGAATCACCACGCAAATGAAACAGTAGAATTAAACGCCAACAGGTTTATGTCTGCGTACTGAATCCAATTGAAGTCCTAAAATCAGTTGCTAATCAGCTAACAGAACAAATCTAATCCAGTTTAATATTTCAGTGTTAATATTTCACAACAAAGGCAAAATTAGGCAGAAGTCTAACCTTTTTTGTTGGAAAAAACTTTTAATGCACTTCCATAAATATTAATTGCAAAGCTGTCATAAATGTTAATAGAAAAAGAAAGAAAAGAAAAAAAGGCATTGGCTAAAGCAACTTCATCGAAAACCTATTATCGCCTCAGTACCTTGAACCAATGTTGAAAACACCCGCAATAATTAACGTCAAGCTTATAAAGGTATTAGAGAATGCAATAACGGTTAATTTTAATAACAATATAATATTCGCCTACAAATGTATAAGCAAAACAACACCACTAAGACGAAAAAAAAAAAATCAAGTGCCCAAGCGTCAAGAGCAACGTAATTATTTTTCAGTTAGATTCGCTGGTACGTAAACTTTTTGTAGCAGCTGTATAGGCAATACATTTTTGTTTAGTACTCATATATTTTTTTAGGTATGTATGTTTGTATGTATATGTAGATATGTATATGGAAAGTGCAAATAAATGTTTATTGGCAATTATTTTGTTATATTTAATGGCATTAGCGAGTCAAGTGCGGGTGGATAAGTGAATGTCTGTTGGCGATAAATACAATTAGTTGCATGTATGTATGTATGAATACTTATGTTATGTACTGGTTTTTAAAAATTCTCTATTGCAATGTGCGAAATATTTTTGCAATAATAGCGCTAATTCCATTCTACACCGCTTTAAATGGAACTAATTTATTTTTTTAGATTTGGTACTCTGAAATTTGTTTGCTAATGTAACCGTTTTTTTTTTTTTATTACCACTTTAATTTTATGTTTATTTTTGCAACTTAAATTTAGATTAGATAAGAGGATGGAAAATTAGTGCAATTTTATTTTTTAAGGTTTTTAGTTTACTAAGCAATTTTTTTTTTGTTACTTGATAAGCGCTGCGGAGCGGTGAAAAGAAACGCAAAAGCTATAAGATTGAAAATACTTGAAGAATGTTTTGAGTTGAGGTAAAAATTTAGTTTTAGAATATTATATGCAGAATTTTTACAATGTTTTATTTAAATGTATACATATTTATGTAAGCCACTGTAAGTATAATTTTACATTTTTTCTAAATAATTTACATGCATATCAATTGTGTAATCAAATAGCAATTAAAATTATTTATATCTACAAAGTAGCAAACAGTTATGTAGTAAGAAAAATTAAAAGTTGATAATTGCATACTAAATAGTATTAAGCAAAAATAACATACATTTATGCAAAATGAATAAATAAAATTTTATACATTCTATACAAAATTTAAAACGATTTGCGTTTAACTGAGGGTTTAACTGAGGTAGACTAGTAGTTGGTTTTCGTGGGACGCAGTGGGTGCCTGTGGAAAGTAATTGTAAGTATCGCTCCTATATGAATGCCTTTACCGAAGAAAGGCCCTATCTCATATTTTGTTTCTTTACAGAGTAGTTATAAAACTTTATAAAAACTAAAGTACAAAAATAAGTTTTTGCTGTGGTAGTTGATTTCAAATTCGATTAAGATATATATTAGAATACACCTACACTAAAAATTTGAAAGTATTAGTACCAAAAACAACGTAGTTATAACACTTTTTAAAATGCCCTATCCGTATGAATGATTTAATTTTTTAATGTTTTTTTTAATACATACATACCGTACGCTTGGAGTAAGGTGTCCGTGTTTTTTTCCTAAATAGGGCTACCAGCTTCTTGACTTAGCTAAATCTTAACTTAACCTTCCATATTCTCAAAAGGCTACTTAAAAGAGGTTTTTGTGTTATAAGTGTTGCAATTGAACATGGTTATTGAGCTCTATACCACGTTTTTTTTTTTTAAGGAAGAATGGATAAAGCTACAAATTCTAAGCTGTAGAATTTATAGCTGCTATTTCGGAGATCTAGACATCAGCACAGACTGATCCTCTATATATGGAACAATCTAAGCTCCCTTCTATTATTTTCTATTTTTTATATCAGAGTAAAATAGATAGATCGAAGGCATCTTTGGGGCTAAGAATATAACGCTGTGCACCTGCTTGGGCATCGAGGGCACTATCGATAGTAGTGTTTATGATGCTAACTGTATGACATTAGGCCAAAGGACCCATCTACAGTTAGTTGGATCGACGATATGATTCGTGATCGTGAAATCACATCTCTTTAGGAGGTCGTCTACAACAAGCAACCTAATCAAGGGGAAAAGAAACACACTTCGATCAGTTACTCATGGCTCTGAACTTGGCCTTAGTGTTGATTACAATTTCATATACACCGAATAGGTGTAACCGGAGACTTAGAATATCGACTCTACCTTGAGAAAAATACAACTTCCGAACACATTTTTGGGGTTTCGGGTAATAACTAAGCTTTTAACTGAGCGAGTCAGTAGTACGAGCCGAACAAGTCCATCTGGCATTGCTGTTCACGTTCATGTTCACGTTCACTGCAGCAAAGCTCTACGAACGAAAAATGCAATCCGTAGTTAGACTCCTTTGCTTGAATAATGACTCTGAAATAATTTTGTCTCTGTGTTTTGTTATTCAGGATTTTTTTTTTTTTTTTTTTACTACCAACTAGATTATATTTTATCAGCTTTTTTTAAGTAAGAGCCCTTTGCACTCCTCATTAGACTCACCCTTCACGCTTTCTCACAAACTTATGTAGAATAGCGCTTACGCAGCAAAACTATTTTGGTCAAACGATTAACCACAAAAAATTACTTAACAAAGTCACTAAATATTCATTTAAATATGAATGCCTGAAGG